TGGGGCCTTGTAGTAATCCTTCTGGGTACTGTCGGCCCATTGATACCACAATAAGGATGTCAGGGCCAATTTCAGAGCACCTAGGCTATACTCTTGGACTAGACCTTTAAAATTTAGAGGTAGGTAGAAACAAGGCTGAGATTAATCAAACAACACTTATTAACTACTGTGTGCCAGGCACTGTGCCAAGTGCTTAAGATACAGAGAAAAGAGAGAGACTATACACAGAGACTGTTATTTACAAAGATCCAGGAAACGTGAATAAATGAGAATTGGACTTAAAGGAAGTGGTTATGGACCCAACTGCCTAGGGCATTTGCCCCTCTCTGTTTTGTACCAGGTATGTGAAAGAGACTAGGTTCCGGCCTGAGGGAGTCTACCTCTAGGGGAGAAAGGAGAAGAAGCTCCCTTTTCTCAAATGCTTTGGTTCATGAGGTCTGATTTTGTCTGATGTTTAAAACCTTTCTCAAAAAAGGGGAATAAAAAAGTACTTAATATGAATCAGGTATGGGATAGGCAATTTATTCCTGTACACAAAGGGATACTTAAATGCAAGATACGTACAAGGGCACATTTGTAAAAAAAAGAATTTTAAACAAGATTCAGAAATTTTACTATAATTACTATTTTAATTTACTGGGATATTGGTTGTTAAGCTTTATCAGAACGAAAGGAACTTTTGAGGACTGCTAATAAGATATGTTTACATTTTAACTCAGCAGTTCATTATTCAAACCATTCCTGGTAAATATCTGCTCATAGAACAGCTAGACCAAAGCCAATCCTCTTGTCAGTGTTGGCAGTGTCAGAGAAGAGTCAAAGGGGCATATAGGAGAGACGTTATGAAGATTAAAATGACAGTACTTGACCACTGACTGGATATGGGGAGTGAGAGAGAGTGAGAAATAGACAATGAGACAAATTGTGAGTCTGAATGACTAGGAAGATGGTGGTAGCCTCTACAATGAAATATAATGATCCAAGTTTGGGACATGTTGAGTTTAAGATGTCTTTGTTCATTCAATTCAAGATGCCTTAGGTAGTTAGAGATGTAAGACTGAAGGTCAGGAGAGAGGTTAGGGCCAAATAAGCAGATCTGAGAGTCATCTGCCTAGAGATGGGAACTGATGAGATCACTGAATGAAATAAAGGGAGAAGAAACAAGGGCCCAGAATAGAGCCTTGGGGACCCCTAACTATTAGCGGTAATGAAATAGATGAAGATCCAGCAAAGGAGACAGAGAATGATTAGTTAGGCAGAAGGAGAACTGAGTCAGTGTCACAAAAACCTAGAGAAGAGAGTATCAAGGAAAAGAGAGAAATTGGCAGTATCAAAGGCTTCAGATAAGTCAAGAAAGATGAGTTGTTTTTTTTTAAAGGCCATTACCATTTAAATGGCAATTAAGATGCCATTAGTAATTTTGGAGAAAGCAGTTTCAGTTGAATGAGGGGGTCAGAAGCCAGACTGCAGAGAATTAAAAAGAGAGTGAGAAGAAAGGAAGTAGAGGAACCTACTGTGGATGATCCTGTCAAGTTTAGCCATAAAAGAAATGAAGTATATTATAGAATGATAGACGGACAGATCAATTGAAGTTTTTGTGTTGCTGTGTGGGAGACAGTCATATTTGTAGTTGGTAAGAAAGCAGCCAGTAGGCAGGGAGCAATTGAAGATTAGTAAGAAAGTGGGGGATGGTAGAAGGGCAATCTTCTGGAGAAGATGAGATGGATGGATTGTTGTTTGTCCTTTGTTTTTAAAGAGGGCCAATGACATCACATTGGATTTAAGTAAGGCAGAGTTGCACGAAGTTGTCAGCCTCACTGTCTTCTAGAGTTATGGAAATGCAGTGGCAAGACAAAGGTCAAGATGGCTGGCAGTGGCCCAGGATGCTGTGGATGACCTTGGCATCTTCAATATCTGACTAAACTCTAAGTGCTCCACAGTGCCTGCTTCAACCACTTTCGTGGCCATTGGAACAAATTGTTCTCATCTGCCTGTTCTGCCAGGAAAAGTCTTTACATGCTTGGGGTAGATGCTCCCCTAACTTACTAACAGATTTGAGGCCTGTTGGTTACCCTCAACTTGGTGTAGCCCATATGGTGAAATGGTTTACTGGGGTACACAGTATACAGCATAGTGTGCATACTATAGCTTCTTGGGGCCACAGGTGAGAATTGATCACCAGGGAGACACCAAAGGTGGATGAGCAGTTCTCACACCAGAGGTGCTAGTTCTCCTTGAACACCCCATACATCCCAATGGATGGATCGTTTATGCATGTAAAGGAAAAACCTTTTCGTAAACAGGTGGCAGAAGGCAGTGGAGTGATGTGAAATGAGGAATAGGGGAGAAAACATCAATGAATGGCCTCAATGTTGTTTCATTGAAATATGGGTTAAGGTTCTTAGCTGAGTGGATGGGAGCAGGAGGAACTGTGTGGTCATCTGAAAAGTGAAAAAGCTGTTTTGGTGAGTGGGATAATGAATTGCTTAGGAAAGTGTATGGGAGTGGGATGGAGGAGTAGGTCATGAGACATGAGTAAGTAGAAGAATGAGGAGGTCTGAGTATTTGAGAGAGTATTCATGTGCATATTAAAGCCTCCTTCTGTGAGGGCAGAAACTGGGGAGGAAAGACTATGAGCCAGGCACTGAACTCATTTGAAGATGGCATGAGAGCGTCATCAGTGAGATAAGTTAGTAGGATCCAAAGGCACATATAATTGCTGTACCAGGCTTAGAAATAGTTTTGGTAAAAAAAAAATTCAGTTGTCCAAATAACCTTTTATTTACCCATAATTTCTACAAGTCCCTCCCCATTCCCACACAAAGTTAGGTACACACAAATACAGTGACCCTATATTTACCCATCCACCTTGTCAGTGGCAGTGATGTGCAAAGAACAGTTTAATCCTTCCACCCTTATAAATCACTCATTTATCAGCAGGGGTTTTAGAACTAAAATAGTTATTAGTGGCGAAGGAGGTTCAACCAAAACCATCTATGCTATGGTCAAAAGAATAACAGGCATGATGGACCACCAACTGGTATTTTATTGTCCTATCTTGGCATACCTTAGTGGATAGATAACTTTGAAACCAGAAAGATCTGAGTTTAAGTCTCGCTTCTGACATACACTGGCAGTTTGACCCTGGGTAAGTCATTTAACTTCTAAATGTTCTAGAGAAAAATATCAGAAAAAGGTGCTGACCTGAAATGGTAAAGGGAAAAGGAGCTTCCTCACCTGCGAGTTCCCTCAACTAATGAAATCACAGGCCCAGTGCCTGTTCTTATCAAAGATATCAAGAATTCTGTTTTGAGATCACATGTCCTTTCCAATTTATCCTGTACGTAGCCTGTTTTACAGTTATTTTCATGTTATTTCCTGCATTAGATTGTGAGCTTCTCAAGGGTATAGATTGTCTTTTACCTTTCTTTGTATCCCCAAGTGCTTAGCATAGTGCCTAGTATGTAGTAAGTGTTTAATAAATGTTTATTGAGGAACCTTGGAGAAATGGGTCAAGTCTCAGGAGTCTTTATACATCACCTTATACATAAAATCTACATACGTCACTGACTTTTGACTTCTAGGAATGGGAAGACAGACCGCAGTTCAGACCTCAGGGAGACTATAATATAACCTTGCATGCACATGGACCATTTTATTGTTATAGGAAATGATGCGTGCAAACTTTTCCTAGGCAAAGCCAAAGTTTAGTCACCTTCAGTTACTAGGAAACCTGCCATTTTGTCTGTGATTCGTGTTATATTTAAATTATTCAATAGTAAACTGTCAATGAAGGACAACATTCTGCCATTCAGGGTTAAGGGGGCTAGAATATTGGAAGAAAAATTCAGTCATCTATAAAATGCAATGTTTTTGACCTCTGCTTTCAAGCTTTGTCAGAGTGTCAGTATTGTTATCTCAGCAGGGGAAAATGAGGGGAAATTCTGATTCACTGAGGATAAAAGCAGCTTGGCCCACTAGGTCTCCCTCCTGTTGTTTCTCATATTCTCCCACCTAGGATGTGGTCTGCAGCCTGGAACCAAAAACTGCAGGAGTCCCTTGGAAATAAATTGCATATGTAAAGAGGATAATCCAGATAAAGAGGGAGAACTAGAATATAGATAAGCTATAGACCACCACCATGAACAAATGCTTTTTGTATTCTAACATGAATTTCTAAAATATTAAAACAGTCTCAAATACAAAGGCATGGAAATGAAATTTTATTTGAAATAAATTTTAGTTTTCAAAATAAAACATTTTACTCTTTTTAGCAAAGGCACTGGATTTATATGAAGGGATCACTTTGCTCTCTAAAACTCCTAGATTCATTGAGAGAGGTACTGATTATACCTGTAATTGTTAACAGACTCTGAGACTCTTGAATTAAGAGTTCATAGGATCATAGATTCACACATACCTTGGATAATCATTTAGTTTCTTCCCTTAATTTTTCAGATGAGGAAATTATCATGTGATCACACATCTGGAACTGAAAGGGAAATGAGAGGGCATCTAAGCAAACTCCTTCATTATATAACAGGATCATTGTCTATAGGTCATAGATATAGATCTAAAGGGATCTCAGATATCTTCTAGTTCAACCTCTCGTCTTTCAGATGAGGAAACTGAGGCTCAGGGAGATTAAGAGATTTTCCCAAGGCCACACAAGTAGTAAATGGTAGAATTTAAACCCACACATCTGGCTATAGAACTACTTAAGTGGCAGAGTCAGGGTTTGGAACCAGGTTCTGTGTTTGCACAGTCAGTGCTCTTTCCAGTATCTTACAAGTGGAGAGTATTTGGAATAAATTCTTTTAGGGAGCTTTTTGAATGGACAAAAAAATTGAACAGAATTGAAGTGAATTTGATGAGAAGGCAATTTTTGATACATATGATAAAAAAATAAATCTGAGTATAATTGACTTAGTAGAAATTCAATAATGTGCTTGATCCTTAAGAAATTTATGTGAGATTAATTGGTGTCCTTGATATTTTAGGTCCTGATCAAATGCAGTCAACAGTCTTCTAAGTCTACCCTCCTTGTACTCTTACAATCCAGTGACATTGACCTCCTGGCTATTCCTCAAATGAGAAGAAGGGAAACAAACTGCTATGATCCTGCCATCATGCTGAAGTGCTTTACAAATATCTTATTTGATCCTCTCAACAACCTTGGGAGGTAGGTGCTATTGTTATCCCCATTTTACAGTTGGGAAAATTAAGGCAAATATGGTAAGTGACTTGCCTAGGGTTAACTCATCTGATAAGTGTCTGAGGCTGGATTTGAGCTTAGGTATTCCTGACTCCAGGCCTGGAATTCTATCCACTTTGACCCCTAGATACTCTGACATTCCATCTCCTGACTCAAAAATATTTTCACTGGCTATTCCTCACGCTTGTAATTCTCTCCCTCCTCATCTCTGCCTCCTGGCTATCTTCAAGTCTCAGCTAAAGTTCTGCCTTAGCAAGAAGCCTTTCCCAGTCCTGTTTAATTTTAGTGCCTTCTCACTGAGACTAACCCCACCTCCAGTTTATCCTTTTTGTACATAATTGTTTGCATGTTGTTTCCACCATTAAACTGTGAGCAACTTGAGAGCAGAGACTGATTTTTGCCTTGCTTTGCATCCCTCGTACTTAGCACAGTGCCTGGTACATTAATAAATGGTACTTGATAGACTGACAAACATTTATTAAGCACTTACTATAGGCTGGACGTTCCTGGGGATACAAAAAAAGAGGCAAAAACAATCTCTGATCTCAAGAAGCTTACATTCTAATGGGGGAAACATGTAAATAATTTGGTATTTATGTATACAGAGTAGATTGAAGATGATCTCAGAGGGGAAAGCATAGTAGTTGGAGAGACTGGGAAAGACCTACTCATGGCAACCATGGCCCACTTCCCTTGATTTTCCCTAGAAAGTTGTTGGGAAACTGAACACCTAATGATCATACTATGTCCCTGGAATTGTAAAGGAAAACACGAGGAGGCAGTGTGAGGCACGAGCCTGGGGGGTTGGAGGGATAGCCTAGCGGTCTCTCAGCTGGGTAACTAAAAGCTCTCAGTCTGGAAGTAGGTTGAGGAGCAGACACTGAGGACAGAGTGTATTCTTAACCCACAATGAACATTGATCAACTCTAACCTCCTCTGGAATCTCTCCCAACAAATCTCCATTTGCCTTCAGAGTAAAACTGAATAAAGAATACACTGTGGTATAGTAGAAAGAGCAAGGGTGCGAGAACACCCTTGGGGAATCTTTCAGCTTGAGAAACATGTGGCCCTCCAGGTCCTCAAGTGCAGTCCTTTGACTGAATCCAAATTTCACATAACAAATCCCCTTAATAAAAGGATTTGTTCTGTAAAACTTGGACTCAGTTAAAAGGCCATACTCAAGGACCTAGAAGGCCAAATGTGGCCTGAAGGTCACAGTTTCCCCACTCCTGTTCTAGAATTAAAGGAACTGGGTTCAAGTCTTGGTTCTGCTACTTAATTTTTGTGTGCTCCTTGGAAAGTCAACCTACACAAATTTGAATTTCCTCAAATGTAAAATCTGGGGCTTGGATTCTGAGGTCCCTTCCAGCTTTGATCCTCTGAATTTCATGGCAGGCAGCTTTGTGATGTTAGGATTAGAAGTCAATTAGCCCCCCTGTCTTTCAAACTTCCCTATATTTATTGAGGGTACCCTAGATGTAACCTCAATGCCATTCTTAATTCCTCATTCTTACTTATCTAATATATATTCAATTAGTTGCCAAATTTTGTCATTTGTTTTTCAATAATATCTCTTTGATTCATCCCCTTCTCTCTATTCAAACAGCCTAGTTCAGGTCTCCATTCCTCAAGCCTCTCCCTTCTCCAATCCATTCACCACACAACTGCCAAAGTCATTTTCCTAAAGTGACAGTCAGACCATGCCACTTCCCTGCTCAGTAATCTTCATTAGCTCCCTATTAGACTATAGACCATAGATTTAGAGCCAGAAAGGGACCTCAGAGGCCTTCTAGTAAAATCTCTTCATTTTACAGATGAGGAGAATGAGGCTCATGAAGGTTGTGACTTGCTTTATGTCAGAACCAGGATTTGAACCCAAGTCTTCTGGCTTCACATCCAGTGCACTATCCATTATACATGCTGCTTTAAAGGATCAGATGTAAACATCTCTTTTTGGCATTTTAAGTCCTTCATGACCTGACTCCAACTTAACTTTCCAACCTTATTATTCATTACTTACCTGCAGGTACCTGTAGATCCAGCCAAACTGGCCTTCTTACTGTTCCTTATACATGTCACTGAATTGCTTATCTCTATGCTTTGATTTGCTCTCCATGGTTTCTGAAATGTTCATCCTCTTGACCTTTACCTCTTAGAATCCCAAGTTCCCTTCAAGGCTTAGCTCAAAAGATACCTGAATCAGTTTTTCAAACTTTTGGTCTCAGGAATCTGGTCCCTTTACATTCTTAAAAACTGTTGAGGGTAGATACCCAAAGACCTCTTGTTTTTATGGTTCATATCTAATAGTATTTACCATATTAAAAAAAAGCCTGACTATTATTATAAAATTAGTTTGGCCCTGTGGACTTCTCAGGTATCCCTAGAGGAGCCAGACCACACTTTGAGAACCACTGTTTTAAATGAAGCCTTTTCTGTCCCACCAGTTGCTAATATCTCCCAACCCTCCACCCTCCATTATCTTGTATCTATTTTGTATACATACATATATTTGCATGTATATAATAGATATACATACATACATAGATCTATGTGTAGATATACATACATATATGTACACATGTAGACACGCATATGTGCAAATATGTATACTTACATGTTGTCTTCTCTGGATAGATTGTAAGCTCTTTGAGGACAGGGACTCTTTAACTATTATCTTTGTATTCCCAGCACCTAGCAGAGTGCTAGATACATAGTATTTAATAACTGCTTACCCTTGGCCTGATTTCCTAAATCTGGGGTAGGTTAATCTAGAGGGTCTAAAGTTCCCTTCTATCTCTAACCCTCCAATGTGAGGACCCCATGATTGTGTTTGCTTATAGACCCAATGAGATTAGATTTTTAAGAGCTCAATTTATTCTTTTGGGGGGAAATAGTAATTTTTTTGTTAGTAGTTATAAGTGAAACTGTTTTGCTTAAAGCAGAATGACTTTGAGCTAAAAATACAAAAATTCAAAATTCTGATCTTCTAAGCAGCTTTTGTAAAAAGAAAAAAGTTAACACTTTTGAAAAAGGAGGTGGTGAACATTTTGGTCACTGTGACATAGAAAACACAAAAGACCAACACTGTTAACAAGAAAACCAGGTGTCTTTAGGCAGTTTTGACATGTTTAATTTTTTTTCAAGCCTGTTAGTGAATTCACAGAACAAAGAAGAATGAAAGAAATTCTGCTGCATTTAAAAAAAAAGCACATTGAAATGAAAAAGTTATAAGGAAGGAGACATAGAGAAATGGTCCTTCTCTTACTTTTTGGAGGATTGGTCTGTTATTATCATGTATGATGAATACTGTCCCTTTTATTAGTGGACATTTTGATTTGAAAGAGGCACAAAAACATCCTTTGTGTTAAGGAAAACTGATCAAATCAAAATGAGAAGAAAAACAGCTTCTCAGATAAAATTTTGGGCAGAAATACAGACTGTTTTGAGGACCTGAAGCAATCAACCAGTCATTCAACAACCTACTATGTACCAGGCACTGTTCTAAGTGCTTGGAGATGCAAGGACAAAGAATAAAAGAATCACTTCTCACAAGGAGTTAACATTCTAATGAAGGAGACAAGTATCTGTATCTGTATCTATCTATCTGTCTGTCTATCTATCTATCTATCTATCTATCTATCTATCTATCTATCTGTCTATCTATCTATTTGTTAATAAATACAAACATAAACTAAGTACTTAAATAGAAGATGTTTTGGGAGGGAGGACACTAGCACTGAGGAGCATCAGGAAATGCTTTATGTAGGAGATGGTACTTGACCTGTGTCCTAAAGGAAAAGAATAACTCTGTGAGGCAGAGTTAAAGAACAAGTGAAATCCAGGTGTGAGGAATAGTCAATGCAAAGACATTGAGATGGGAGATGGAAGGGTGTGTTTGAGAAATAGAGAGGACAGTTTGGCTGTATATTGGAGTGTGGCGGATGGATTGAAGGGTAGAGTGAAGTGGGGTAGTAGTGGAGAGGAAGTAATGTACAATGAGAGTAGAATTTTTCTAGCCATATTGTGTTTAGTTTTAAAAGCTAAACAAAGGTATTTATATTTTTTCCTGGAGGCAGTAGAAAGCTACTGGAGTTTATTGAGTAAGGTAGTCACACGGTCAATGCTTTAGGAAAATCACTTTGTAGTGCTATATGGGATGGATTAGAGTAGGGAGAGACTTGAGGCAGGGAGGCCAATTAGGACCTTTACAGCAATCTAGTTGAGAGGTGAAAGGGGCATGAACTAAGATGGTAGGTATGTAAGTGAAGAAAAGGGGTCAGATGCAAAAGATAGAAGATGCAAAGTTTGTCAACAGATTGAGTATATTGGATGAAGGAAAATGAAGAATCAAGGATAATGCCAAGATTATGAAACCAGGAGACTGGTTAGGATGGTGGTACCTCAAACAGATATAAGGAAGTCTGGAGGAGGAAAAAATTTTGGAGGAAAAATAATGAGTTCATTATGGACGTGTTGAGTTTGAGATGTCTCCAAGACATCTAGTTTGAAATGTCCAATAGGCAATTGATGATGTGGAACTGAAGCTTTAGAGAGATACTAAGATGAGATGCACACACACACTGACATAAACACTCATATATATCTGTGAGTCATCAGCAAAGAAATGCTGGTTAAAACCATAGAAGGTGATGAAGTTGCCAAGAGTATAGAGGAAGAAAAGAAGAGGGTCTACAAATGAATTTTGGAGAACATCCCTAGTTAAAGGCATTATAATATTAATGAGCCAGCAAAGGAGACAGAGAAGGAGTAGTCAGACAGGTTGCAAGAAAATGAGAAGAATGTCATAAAAGCTCAGAGAGAAGAGTATCCAGGAGCAACAAGTTCAATAGTGTCAGATACAACAAAGAGCTCGAGAGTGATGAAGAGTAATAAAATGCCATTGGCTTTGGCAATTAAGAGATCATTGATAATTTTGAAGAGAGTAGTATCAATAGAGTGATCAGGTT